ACAACATATGTGGTTTACAACGCAACTCCAGACAAAACGACTTATTGACGTTATCACAACTCACCATTATGACTAACTTGGCTAATTATGACCTATGTGGCTCACAGCTCATGCAACTCTCAATTCTGAATTCTGTGGTCAAACGACACACCTGAATAAACCATTTAAGGTCCACACAACCAACTACTACCATGACCTTCAACTAAGATATACAAAAAACTGACGCTACGTTTACAATCTTTACGATGAACCGCAATCTCCATAATAATCGACTATAGCTCTCACAGTCTGCTATCACTTAGAACCACAACTAGATTACGTCTATTATCAATGAACAATCATTGTACGTTTACAACAACCAACTTTATAACTCCATTTTCTCTAATTCAGAAGAAAAATAAACATTTATACTCACCATACATAACAAAATATTTCAACTGGGCAAAAAGATGAGATTTTTTCCATTTTCTAGGGTTTTCCTTGTAAACATAGAAGTGTCTCCACTTGCTTAATTCTCTTTAATTACCTAAGTGTTTCTGACAGCCCTGCTAACATGTGCCTTGATGTGTACATAAAACATATTATAAAGAGGCAAATTAATTAATGTGATAGTATGTCAGTTTACTTGCATTAGTATGATATCTTGGTGCTAAGTGTACTTAAAAATAATTTAGTGAAATAGACTCGGTCACAGAATACATTAAAATGCTACAATAAAGTTATATAAAATTAGTATCTTGGAGCTTATATGAACGATAATCTCTAAGAACACCGCCATGCAATACTATATTTAGTAGTACAGAAATGGGCTGAAAGTCGGCTCCATAGCTGTGGGTCAATAGGACTCGTCGGATTGGCGAAATTCTACAGATTGGTAGGTAAGGTCCGGTTTTCGACCTTTGATCTTTACGAAGGAGTTCATGTCAACAGGGTGAAGTCATGTCATCAAAGATTGAGTAAATCACTATAATTTGACGAGTTGTCTTTCATAAAGTGTGAGAGAATCTTGGTGGCTCGGTTGAGACCTATTTTATTATTTTGATAGTATTGGGGAGACGGCTGAGTGATCATGATATGAGAGGGTCCTTCTGTTGGTGCGAGGTTTCGTGATAAAAAGTAGCGGCTCTCCTTCATATTTTGCACGGCTCCCTTTTTGGTGTTCTTCTTCGGCAGTTCTGCTTCCACGGGACAGAGGAAGATAAGTGCAAACAGTAGTTCCTTGCAGCAGAGGAAAGAAGAAAGAAGAAAAAATAATACGAAGATTACTCTTCCTTGACTTCTTCTTGTTGGCTTGCGGGAGAAGAGAAATATGATTTAACTTATACGTTTATCTTCTTTGGTGTATATCTCGGTGTAGAGAGAGAGAAGAAGAGAGAGTGAGGAAGTGAGATACTTTCTCTTGTAAGTCGAGGCGATCGACTGATGTATATTTCTAAAGTAATAAAATCCTCTACAACTCCGTGGAAGTAGGCAATTTGCCGAACCACTCAAATCTGTGTATTCTGCTGTGTTACTGTTTTCTGATGTGAATTTCTTCATTTCAATTTTTTCACTTTCTTCGCCGATCAATCTTCTATTTTTCTATATATATACATAACACCTTCTCCCATGAATTGACTCGGAAGACTCTTTGCCCATCGAATTCAAAAAATTATCATCTAAATTTATATAAATAATTAATTTCCACTAAAAATCTAACCAAATATTTATTTAAAAATTATTTCAATTATGTTCTTGTAACGTAAAGCCGTCAAATTATATGCTCGAATTCGATTTTTATAATTGATTTTTTTATCCTATTTTATTTTCTCAACAGTAATTAATTTTATATCATGTAAATATGAAAATTTACGTGTAAATATGTAAATATGAAAATTTAGGTGTGAGATATGTAAATAAATAAGAAATTTGTGCGATGTATGTAAATATGTAAATTTAGGTGTGGGATATGTAAATACATAAGAGACTTCTGTTATGTAAGTTTAGGGTGGAGTTAGGCTATAGTTGATTTTTGTTTAGTTAAGGGAAAGATGATGATGTTGTAATTTAATAGGTTAGTGGGTTGATGGGTTAGTTTAGGTATTAAGGGGTTAATTGGTTGATTCTTTCGATTTGTAGGCTTTGAGTTTCAGGTATGATATGTAGACGGCACGCGGCTGTTCGTTTACCTTTTAGAAGGTAAGTTATGATGCCCCTATGCGAAGCACAAGAATCAAGCGTATATTGTCACCTGAAAAAGTTAAATTGGACCTATACCGTTGGGGATTTAAGCCTGATTATTAGTCTTCGACTTCACATAGTGAATTTGAACCAGTTCTAATTTTTTGAGGGGCTATTAATTTGCTAATTAATGTTTAAAATGTCAATTATATTTGAATTTTGTTATGCAGGAAGAGTACAAACGTATGCAGGAAAGATTGAGGAAAATGGCTTGCTAGACCTCACCATCTACCAGTAACAGTGGTAGCTATTCTAACACTGCTCAATTTGATTTTGAGTTGTGGACGCAATCGACAGGGAAGAAGAAGTGGAGAGTGTATGACCTCAGAGAAAATGAGATTACCTTTGAGGTCGAGCGTTCTAGTGCAGCTGTGGTGACCCTAGCTCGTTATAGACTTAGAGTGAGGAGCTTGTCAAGCGAGTCATGATGATGAATGAAGAGCTCTAACAGGTGCGTGAAGTTCAACAAATGAGTACAAATAATTGGGAAAGACTGATGAAGAGTTTTGATCGTCGGAACAAGGGGCATATGAGTGTTGTTGAGGATGATGAGGAGGAGGGGCATGATGATGATGATGAGGAAGATTAAAATTTTTTTATGTGTTTGATAATGTTTCCCCGACAAAGGCGCCGATCATATGTTTTTATCATTTGTGTGTAATTGAACTTTCAGTTTCTGTAGTTGTGAACATTAACTAATTTGACCGGTTTATCTTTAATTTAATTTGTTATCATTATTTGCATACGTTAGAGTTTTCTTTTATCAGTTCTAATGATACATAAATGTCAAGTTATGTAGCTTGTGTTTGTTCTGTGTAGGCATGTAGAAATCTAAGTCTAGCTGTATTTTTATATTACAGGTTTGCGTCGAATTAGCGTCGGTAAATTTCAATGCTAAGTACTATAATAATCCATTCGATAAAAGACGATGTTTGACGCACTTGCGTCGAACAAGGCCGACGCAAATTTGTGTCAGCATAATCGACGCAAATTAGCGTTGGTGTCGGCCTTGCTCGGCGAGACAAGTGCCTCGTTACGCTTGCAATACCTGTTTTTTCGATGCAAACTTATAGTGTCGAAATTTTTTGACGTAAATGTTGACGTAAATAAAAAGTCGATGGAAATTCTAACGCAAAATGATTTCGTTTGTTTTAACATCTGAACTTTTTTGACGCTAATCAGACGCCAATTAGGATTAGCGTCCAAAATTTTTGACGCTAATTGGGCATTTTCCCTTTAGTCTTGATGTTGATAGGACTTAAGCAAGCCTTACTTGTCCGCTAGATATGACAATATCGTCGGTCAGATAGATCTGAGGCTGCAGGTTGGCTCTATAGCGGCGAGTCGTAAGGACTGGTTCGATTAGCATAATTTTACCAATTGGAAGGTAAGGTTCGGTTGTCGACCAATCTCCACTAAAGAGGTCATGTCAACAGGGCGAAGCTCGGTCATCGGCAGAGGGTAAATCATGACAATCGAATTGGTAGCCTTCCTTTAGATGAAAGGATCCTGGTCGGATGATTGAGACCAATTGTATTCTCTTGATGATATAAGAGTAGACGACTAGTTAAGTGACCCTAGTATGACGGGGTCCTCCCATGGCTAGACTTCATTTTCACAGACTTGGACAACCCTTCTCTCATCGCCTGAACGAGCTGCTCAAGTCGATAACACTTCAACCGCCCTCGTGACTTCGAAGTTTACATCTGGTCGGATGCCTGATCCACTGATCAGGCTTTTGGTGTCCTTTTTATATTAGAGCTTTTTCTCGTAGACCGTTAGATCTCCTCGAAATTTGTGCTCACCAAATATTTAAATTTTAGTACTTATCAAAATAATATTGTAATGTACCAATCACATAAAAGACGTATTTTATTAAAAAAAAAATTAGCAGAGAGTACCTAAACTCAACTCTAAACCAAAAGTCAACCCTAATGAACCTGGAGCCAAAATTATGGAAATAGAAACAATTAAGTGTTAATTTTTAAAAAAAATATATATAAATGCTTCAAATACATATAGTTCGATTATTGAAACAAATATATAGACACAAATCCAATCCAAAAACCCAACAAGAATCCCGATACCCTAAAACACGAATCAAACCGCGAACAAGAAAACCCGGCCCGTCCCCGCCACCGCCGGCGCCCGCCGTCGCAACGCCCGTTATCTCCGGCCACCACTCTAAGCATTTCCCATTTTCCGGCGACCAGCATTCTTCAGCGCTCGACGACTCTCCATCGTGGTCCCGATCTTCATTCCATCGAACCCTGCAAGCATTCAAAAAGGCAAAATCATTACCAAAGAGAAGAATCGAACAGTCAAAAAGCGGAGAAACCTGCGGGGCGGTGACCGGATCTGAGGAGAAGAAGGGAGAGTTCATCAGATTGAATGGTTACCTTTAGGGTTGGGGTCGTGGGAGCAGAGATAGAGGATGAGAAGGCAGAGGAGAGTGAGGAGAGGGATGAGGTGGATGCATTTATTGCTTTTCGAATTCGATCGGAATATCTTCTCGGTCTTGAACTTGTAATCCGAAGAGGGCGACGCCTGAGATTCAGATGTTGGTGAGATTGAAGCCATGAGCTTCTCCTCCGGGTTTAGGGTCCCGCTGCCGCCATGGATTTGGAGCTTGGAGCTCGGAGATCCCAACGATTGCCTCGGCAGGGCTTTAGGGAGAGAGAGAGAACTGAGGTGTTTGGAGCTAAGCGGCGCCTTAAAATGGTTGGTTTTTGTTATTTTACTTAATTAATGATTACTCCAACAATTTTTTCTAAATAAATATATTATATTACACAATTCTTATTCATTTGCATATCTAAACACCTAAATTTATATATTTACATTTATATGTGCCAATTTGTATATAATGCTTGGTATTAAAAACTTTAGTCATATGTATTTACATATATAACACCTAAACTTCAATTTCTACGGACATGTCACCTTTTAAATAAGTAAAAAGATGTATTTCATTTTATAAAATTAAAATGTGAAATATTTGTGTGATATAAATGTAAAAAATAGAGCTTTAGGTGTTGGATATGTAAATAGATAGAAAGTTGGTGGCATGTATGTAAATGCACCTAAAAACTTATGCTTGATAGTGATATTTTTTATTTGATGTGATATCGAATTTTAGAATTTATAAATATATATGTATGTAAATACTCCAAAATTTTGATATAAATTTTAATTATAAATATTTAAAAAATAAAATTTATTAAATCATAGTTAAAAAAAATTAAAAATCTGTTTTTTTTTTATTTGCTTTTTGCAAAATACTTTTTGGCATGAAAAAAGTTTAAAATATTTCATTTTATTTAAAAAATACCGATTATCTTATTCTTTGATTAAAAAGATAGAGAATCGGGTCCAAATTAGGAAAGAATTCACACTAAAAATACGTTGCTTCGTGTTATAAACTAACTGAGCTTTCAAGATATTGGAAGAATGTAATAAAATTTGGGAAATTTATTTTTTTTTTCATGTAATTTGAGTATTTATTTTATATTTTTTTATTTAATCTCTATATTTTTATGACCAAAAAGTGCTTCTGAATACAAAAATATGCTTATTAGTATGAAAAGTGTCAGAGACATGAAAATGTACAACTCCCTCTTTTAGGAGGTGATAAGTGGTATCAAAACAGTTTACTGTCTGCCAGGTGTGTGGACTCTCTATGTTTCAGTGGGACCCCCAGAGGAGCCGATCCGTGACAAGGGCATCACGTGATTGGGTGGAGGAGAACGTTACGGACAAAAAGTCTCACATCGGCTAGGTATAGAGCAAAAAAACAGTATTTAAATCCTGGGCTGCCCACCACCCCGAAGAGCTCTTTTGGGAGGTAACAAGAGGACAAAATTTATATTTGCCCTCTTATAATCTATAAGTAGGAGGACATTTTATGTATAAGGTGATGTCAATTTTTGACTCTCCCCCTTCTTCTGTAAATAATTTTTTAATATTTAAAATGGGACTGAGAGCCCGAAAAATACCTTCAGTTTGTTCCGTTAGGAGCAGTCACGACATCACCTTTTTTTTTCTCTCTCTTTCTCTGAGTTCTCATACTCTATACTTTGAGCATGTACCACAGAGCAATTTTAGATTCAACAACAATAAAATAATATATATATAACAAATATTAAATGAAAATTTCTATTTATGAACTTAAACTTTAATAAAGCATTTTAACTTCATCAATTAATATCAACAAATACTTTAAAAAAATTTATCATTTTTAATCAATTTATAAGCTTATTTACTTTTACTAAAAACTTAATGTATTTAAATTATGTAAAACAAATATAAAATTAATTAGACAATTATGATTCAAATTTGATAAATTTTTTTAAAGAAAGTAATAATTTCATAATAAAATCTAAAATTTAAATCATATTTAAATTTGGCACAAACTCAATTAAATAATAAATTAAATAAGATAATACTCATTTTGGTTTGACTTATGTACCATCATATTATAAACAGCTCGTTATATTTATAAGTTACTCATATAATGAGCCAAATTAAATTATTTTAATAAAAGTCATAATATCATTATTATAAAAATAATTTATTGCATAATTTAGAAAATTATGCCTTTCTTAGCTCGCAAAAAAAGAAAGTTCTTTGAGTGCTTTGAATTTTGAGTGAAGCAAAAGAATTATCATACTATTCAAATCTGTAATGTTACGTAGGAATTTTAAGCCTATGAATTTTATATTTAAATTTATATCACCGCAATAGCTTAATTATTAAATATAATAATAGACATAATAATTAAATATACATAACACAAGATGATGTCGTATTAGAAGTTTCAGCAAAATTACTGGTATTGGACTTCACATGATGATCGGATGATAAGCTTTACATCCTTGAACGAATATGATATGAAAGATAAGATGGGACGGGACTATTCTTATCTACAAAAGCGGTTGAGGAACTTTTTAATGAAGAAGCTCAAATGAACTATTAATTGCAACGTAACGATCGTTGTTCGATAGTCTTATAGACCATTCTGAAATATATGATCCTAAGAGGATGCTCAAAATAAAATAAAGTACAATAAGTTACAATATTGCTTCCTTCATTTAGTAAGATAGCAACAAATGAGAGAAGAAATCCAAAAGAAAATATAGTTCCAAAGAACTTATACATAATAAAGATATTAATATCTAAATTAGGTTTGAGTTTAATGAAAATAGATTGCTATTGTGATAGATATATGTTGTGCCAAGAGAATGACATGATGAAGTCACACAATATAGAAAATAATACAAATAAGAAAAATTCACATAAATATTTATTTTAATTTTCCCTCATTCTGCTTCTGTTAAAAATAATGTATGTCAGCGGATTCTAAAGAGTATATAAGATGATATTATGATAGAGTGAGTGAATCATTTTTTCTAGGTCATTGATCAAATAGTGAAGTATGAAAGCACTTCAATATACACATCTTGATTTTGTTGTCTAGCCACTTAATATTAGGCTTTAATTATGAAACACAGTTTTACACAATTTAGTCAGGCGAACTCGCTTTATAACATTGTGACACAACCAGATTCAATGTAAACCGTCATATCAAAATGAGTCACATCATCTCAAGGTCGTAATAATTGATCAATTACCCAAAATTAATTTGAAATGGCTTTTTTAATCACCATAACTATTAATATAATGGATATAAAAATAATAGGATGCACAAGATCTAAATCTCAATGATAACTAATAACTCTGATCAACTCGATCAAGGCCTTATCCTTTTGAAAAATAATCACATGGATAAAATAATGTGAGAAATTATAGCTCAGCAGCCTATTCAAATTCATTCTAATTTTTAATAAAAAAGGTTGTTTGCTATAATAACAACATATAAATAACAAAATTTACTTCTTAACATATATCATGTGTTATTTCTATCAAGCATAATCATAATATAAAAATTACATTAAAATAGGCATATGCTAATCATAATAATATAATCACTCAATCCTATAGTTTAAAATTAGTTTAGTCGACAAGTATATATATATATATGTATGTATGTATTAGATAGCCAAACTTATCAATCAGTAATGAAAAGGACTGATCACATTGTGCCTTATACGCAATCCCGACGTTGATATTGATATTTTTTCTACTCTTAATATTATAGAATTTTCAATGAGTTTATACATAATATTTATGTTGCTTAGTTAAAAGACATTATGGGTAAAATGGAAAATGAATGACCAAACACAATTATTAATGTGTAATTGTGATACATATAACAATTATTATTTATGTATAATTATGATATATGAAAATATTGCTGTAAAATTTAGGGCGAAGAAAAACAAGAATCGACACAAAATCAGAAAAACACAGAGATTTAACGAGGTTCAGCAAAGATGTCTACATCCTCGGGAGCAGAGCGACGAAGTCACTATTTTAGAGGAGTTACATACTCATAAGGTTACATATTTATTTATAGATAAAACCCACAGATAATTACAAACACGCCATCGCTCCCCCCCAACCCACTAATCTAAGAGACAGCTCTTCACACCAAGAGACACACCTCTTCATTCCAGGAGACACACCTCTCTAAATCCAAGAGACTCCAAATTCCTGGTATATGAGCCATACCTAACAAATATATCTTTAAATTTATTATGAGCTAAATAATAATAAAAAAAATCATTAATTTGCATCAAATTGAGTTCAAGATTTTTAAATTTATTCCATGTAAATTTTAATCAAAATAGTTTAGGTTTTTTTCATGGTAAAAATATTCTACAAAGTTCTGTAGGTATTATCTTCAATCTTTCTTTAAACTCAGATCTAAATCTCTGTTTTTTTGAAGAAGTTGGTTCTACTTAAGGTTATTTAATGTAGTGCTTTAATTATCTTGTCCAATCGCAAAAAGACTACCAAATGACACCAATTGACTCATCTGGTCAAAACTTTTTTTTTTTTTTAATCTTGAAGTATCTTGTTGACCTTGAAATCGTTAGGTTTCTCTCATTGACACACTCAATTGCATTATAACTATATAATATTTAGTAATTATTAAATCATTAAGTTAATTTTTATATGTTTCTTATCAAAGCTAAAATGCACAATTTTAACTTCTTTGAACTAGAATAAGACCTCCTTTGATATTCTTTGTTTCAGTTTGTCAAGGTTCAATTCAACTATAAATTTGTTAAAATCAAAATTTGATGGGCGTGAATTTGATTTTTTTTAAAATTAATTTAAAAATTACATAAAAAAATGTGATTGACTAGAAAGATTTTCTTGATGACATATCAATTACATAGAGATATTTCAGAGTTTAAAAATATAATGAACTTTTAATTCGTTATACTCCCTATTTGAATTTTGTTATAATCTTATTTTAACATAAGAGATGAAAATTATGTTAAGCCTTTTAACTCTTTTATATTGGATTGAATCAATATGATTATGGCATTTTTTTCATTAAAAATCAATTGCTTAATGACTAAACTAATTAGCCTATAGCATGAAATAACTTACCATATATCATTTTTATAACAAACATTAGTCTATCTCTCCTTTTACTATTTGGTTAAATAGACATGAATTTACTATCAATTAAATTAATCACCTTTATGTATATAGTAATTATATAATTATATTTTTATTTTAAAATTATAAATAAAAATGGCATAGGAAATATAAATTTTTAAATTTAGCCAACTCAACTCTATATTACACCTTATTCACATATCATCAAGTTTAAAGTAGGGTATATTACTATAAACACAAAATGAATTATGAAAAAAGGGTTTGAATTAAAATTATTGAATTTTTTTAAAGATGTCTTTAATATATGAATAATCAACAATTATAATTTTAACCTCACTTTAATATAAATTCATTTTATAATCTTAAGATGTGTCTAAGATGTGTTGTAGGTGGACTTGAAAGTACTTGGGCTTTAATATTTTATGTTTGAGTGCATTTGGGCTTTTATGGATCAAACTATTTCTAAACGAGATTGCGTGGAATTTTAACAATTTTGAATTTCGAAATTGTATGCAAATAAATTAGGCCCTCATTTTGATCCGTTTTATTTTAATTTTTATATTAACTTTTCTTAGTTTTTATAGGCATCCAAATTACCACAATTTTATTTTAAAAAGAGAAAATACACGTGTTTTGGAAAATTGAAATTCAGGTGTTAGATATTTAAATTCATGAGAATTTGATGGTATGTATGTAAATG